CAGTATATGTTAAAAAAACGAACTTACAAGTTCAAAGGCTAGACCAGCAGTACCAGCACCAGTACTAGTACTAGTACCAGTACCAGTACCAGCACCAGTCCTGGTCTCCTCCCCAGAGACCACCTCCCACTCACGCACGTTAATCTGAACATCTCTAAACTTGGTGGGCGTTCTTCTTCCTTCCCTCACACTGATGAGATGAAGATGGCGGTAAAAAACAAAAAAAAACCAAAAAAACTCTCTCTCTCCAACACACACACACACACACACAGACGGAGGACCCCCTGGCCCCTCCCTCTCTGACCACACGCCAGCAAATAACAACCTAATCTCACAGCTTCACCCGAGGCCAGAGAGAATTTATTGGACACACATTTGTAAAAAAAACAAAGAAAAAAAAACAAAGATGTGTCGACAGATTGTTGAGGTTTCCTTCAGGACAAACTCAGACCAGACCTGGTGGGAACCAAAGAACCAACCAGCAGTAGAGTTCAACTTTACTACTAGTACTACACCGGACAGTACTGTATTTCATGGAAATAAAACTGTGAATTAATACTCAGATTATACCAACCGTGAGTGTGGACATACCCAGATGCAGTGTATAATCAGTCAGGTGTGTGTGGGAAATAAAACTGTGAATTAATACTCAGGTGTGTGTACGGAACAGAAACTGTGTTAGATAGAAAATACGGGCCGTATATTTCCTAATAGAAGTTTGTCAAAAAAGGTCCTCGGTTCACTTCCTACCACTGCTTACCACAAAACACACACACATATATATATATACTATAAAAAATATATAAATATATGTGTATGTATTTATTTATAGTATAGCAAAAGTATAATAAACACAACGGTATGATGTCTCTCTCTGCATGTGTGTGTATCCAGGTAAATATAAAAACATATTTCTAACTCATCAGCCAAGCAACAGAAACAGACTAAACAGATATATGTACATATACATATATACATATATTTTTTTTAATGCATGTATGGAGTGCAGCTTATCACCGGTCCAGCTTTATTTCCATGAATACTACAGTTCCTTTGAAAAAAAAAAATTTTTTTTTCTTTTGTTTTCCGTAAAAGTTGAAGCTGAGTCCAGACCAGGTCTGATTATGGCACCGGCTCCTGACACAGATGAAGAGTGTCTTTGTTTACAGACAGCACTGGATCAATACTGTTTCCCCAAAATATAAATTCTCTCTTTCTTCACTACAACACTGTTGTAACCAAACACACGGTCAGGCCTTTTCTGGGAAACATCGATGCTCACACAGCCTTGAGAAATGGATTTTCTCAAAGTGAGGTGGAGCCAGAGCGATTCGTTACACTGTGACAGCACCGTGTTCACAAATGAGGCCAACAGATCGGAGTCAAACCACGACCACGACGACGACGCACGGCCGCGGAAAAACCTGCATTATTTTTGTTTCTGGAAGACATTTTTTTTTCTCCCCCCATATACTATCAGATAAAATACATTTACGCCATGACGATGTGGAGCGGGCCGAGTGTGCGGCAGCAGCACGGCGACACACACCATTAGGGGTCAGGTAGCATAAAGGTCAAAGGTCATATAGAAGGTGAAAGACCCCACAAGTAGCACCACGGTTTCCTGACAGATACAGAGGAACACAGCTGATGTGAGGACGGTCCCACAGCGCTGCAGAGGGCGCTGTCATCAAAGTTGCATTTTTAAAAATATATATATATAAAATAATCATTTCCTGGATTGAAGAAAATCAAACGCTGGAATTTTGGTCCAAAGCTGCCCTCTGGGTAAATATATATATAAAAAAAACCATATGTGCTGAGAGGATGGCAGTTCAACAGTCAGGTGTCGCGTCACTGTCGCCGACAGCCAATGAAAATCCATCTGAGCTCGTTACAGTCTCTCTGAAAATCCATCTGAGCTCGTTACAGTCAGGACACATCGGTTTGAAGAGACTCAGAGACAGAAGTCTCTTAACGTTTGACACCACAGAGACGTAGAGATAAACACGGCAGATTCAAAATTCGCATAAAAAATCTATTTCCAAATAAAAAATAGATCTGTGGTTAAAATACCCCGAGTACGAAAGCTAAAAAAGAGCTGATCAGATAGAAAACTACAAGACGACATCTTTGATTTGAAAGTCCACGTTGACGCTGCAGGGAAATGTTGCCCAAAACCGATGTTTGTTTTAAAGTGACAAACGGGTGGTGTAAACTTTTACATCACTGAAGTGTGTGTGTCCGGAGTGAGTGGGGGGGGGACATCAAGGTGTTGTCACGACATCGTGATCGTGATCAGCGTCACTTCAGTTACTAAAGTTTCAATATCGTCAAGAACCACGTAAAAAAAAAAAAAAAGTAAAAATTGATCTGAAGGTCTGAGTGGACGTGGACCGACTGACAACAACAACAACAACAGACTGAGCTGCTGATTCAGCTCAGAAACACATTTATCATGACATACTGTTTATGAAGTCCTTTTTTTCCCGTCCCGTCGATAAAAAAGTCTTTACGAACAAATGAAACCAAACAGGGAATGTGAGCCTGAACAGCAGAGAACGAACTGGTGCGACGCCTCACTGCTGGGTTTTTTTGGCCTGTGTGTGTGTGTGTGTGTGTGTGCGCATACACCGACCACTGCGTGATCATATCTGCATAGACGGTAGCCGGTACTTGGGGAAAAGATAGAGGTCTTTGCACAGCGAGCTGGTGAACTCCGACATCTCTTTGCAGCGGTGGTGGGGCGTGCCGGGGGCGTAGCCCTCCCGCTCCTTGATGCGGGCATTGACCTGGACACAAATGTGCAAACACAATGACACAGAACACAGTGCTGGGGCTGCGTATCGGCAGGAATCTGGCGATACGATACGTATCACAATACAGGAGCAACGATACGATAGGTACGACGATATATTGATTTTTGTTTTGTTTTAATAATTTAAGGTTACTAACATTGGAACAGAGGGATCTACATTTGGATAAACAAAAAAAAATAAGATTGTTTGACTCAAAGTTTAAAGCTAGCTTAACATGAAGGGAAAAAAATGGTGTAAATGCAACACGAAAATGAACCGGCATGAATATTAACAAAATAACAAAACAAAGTGTAACAAAATATCGCAATATTTCAGCTCATGGATATTTCCTGCAGTACTAACACAAACAAACGCGAGCCCTTACTCACCTGCATCAGGATGTCTGCCAGGTGAGTGTCTCTGGCGTGGAGACGCAGCGCCATGTCCAGGTCCTGGATGAACCAGGATCCTTTCTTGGTGTTACGCATCGCAGCCGTGCCTTGAAGAGCGAGTGGGCGAGAAAAAGTCAAGAAAGAAAAACAAAGGATCAGACCCAGAGACGACAAGGAGACAAGGAGGCACAGTTTACAGTTTAATTTCTTAAATAAATATTAAGTTAGTGGTCGAGACTTTGTCCCAGTTTTTAAATTTTCTCCCACTGTGTATTTGAGTGGACAAAGGCAGTACTCACTCGTACCACTAGACGGACTCTAGAGAGAACCAGCTGTTCCACTGAGTAACAACTTCAGTAAAAAACATGTCCATAAACTAAAGATAAAGGAGGTTCTTATTTGTTTAATGTTCAGGTAAAAGATGGTTCAGTGTAAAACACTCCACTCCACCACTGAACACCTGCTGCCGCCCATTGTTACGACACAAACGCCTCGGTGAAATGAATCCGTTTGAAGACGATCCAAACAGGTTCTGGGCAGAATAACAAAAACGGTACAAACTTACTAATTCTCTGACCTTTGAGCGAGGCGAAGCCGCAGATCATGTCGGACCTCTGTGGCAGTTTGATTCGTCTCCCGTCGTGTCCTCCCTGTCCGGGGTGTGACTCATTCTGTCTCTCCCTTCCTGCGTCACGCTGCTCACAGCTGGGGGAACCGGTCCTGATTGGTCCATCTATCTGCTCCACGCCAACGTCCATCTCGTCTGGGGGAGGACAACAATTCAATGTTCATCTTTTATTTCAACCTGTCCTCAGGACAGTTTGTCTTCAGTATCATTTGAATCCATCTCTCACTGCTCCGACCTCCTCCATGAGAATCTCCACATTTCTTTTTACATATACATATATATATATATATATACATATACACATATATACATACATATATTTATATGTATACATATATGTATATATCTTATATATTCATATATAAATACATATATGTATATATATACATACATATATGTATAAATATGTCATATATAGATATATAGATATGTTAATATATAAAAATATATATACATACACACACATCTAAAGCCTAAACCCCAGGTATAGAAATACAGTATATATACATCT